CTGCCTGACTATGTAATCAAAGCAAAGAGAAGCTCGGATTACAAGACACAGAGGGACAGTGACTTCATTCTCTGTTCATGTAGACATTACTCCATGGTGTCTTTACATAGCAAATAGTTGTTTGATCTGAATATCTTAAAGATAATCTTTTAAAAGTATAAATGTTACAAAGAATCTGAATACAAACAGTAAAGTCCAGAAGAGCAGACCATTTTGATATTTGAATGTTTTCCGCTGAATGTATCCATAAGTAGTACACGAAAAACATACAGAGGAGTAATAATAAAGAGCCAAGATAACATAAATGTATAAAATAATGCTAAACTGGAACACTAAGTTGGCAGTTATGGTGAACCCCCCCCCAAAGCAGGATAATAGCTGAAAGCATGCAGATGGCCTTCCTATTTTGCGCTACATTGTCACTTACTATGCTGAGACAGGTGATTGGAAGTGAACAATTGGAGCTAGTTTTACACTTGAAGCCCGTACAGTCCAAATTGCACTGCATATGAACAGTGCAATCTTCTGGTTGCCCTTCATGTTTGTTTTGATGCAAGAACGACCAACAACTGGCATTCTCACTGGATTTTCACGGTCATCCACCATCAGAACTCACGTGGTTACTGACCAGTCCTTATTGTCTAGTTTTTGATTAGGTCCTGAGGTTAATGCTACACAAGTTGTTGGAAACATCCTTTATGTGAGTCTGCAGGTTTGTCCCAAGCTCCAACATTGAATCACTAGGTGATCATTTCCCCAGTGGGCAGGGTTGTATTACAGTAAAGTTGACGTGACATAAACGAGGCATGAGTTTGATAACTGTTGTCATTTACTACACATGTAAAGAAGTGCTTAACTGCTTGCCAAAGAAATCCTTCACTCCTAAATAGTTACTGTTGTGTCTCTATTTCTCCCTCTTACTCATCCTCATCCTCATCTGTCAAGTGGCTGAAAAGGAAATTGAGGAACGTTATGCATCAGTGACATTCAACACTTTATTAGTTATTCAAAAGCCACATTCATCCATCCTGTTGGACACATACGCGCACACACACACACACACACACACACACACACACACACACACACACACACACACACACACACACACACAGAAATGGAGTAATTCTGTTCAGGAAGCAGAGGACCCAGAGATAATCTAAAGGATTGGACGAATCAGCAAAAAAGGATCAGAATGGGGAATAAGAGGGACTGTGGGGAATAACATTACAAAAGATACTCCACATGAATAAAGAATGAAAGTGTTAAAGGCATGATAGAAGACCAGAGGAATGTTTGAGTCTTTGATGTCAGCTATGAAACGGATCCTGCTGCTTTTCGCTCTGCGTCTTCAGGCTGCTTATCACTGATGTCTCACAACTCTTAAACATGGCATCTTTTCGGCATTCACCAGTGCAATAAACCAGCTTTGGTAGTGGAAATTGGTTTGGTCATTTATTTTACCATGTGTCAGTTTGAGCAGGGTTAGTCACTGAGACTGGAAATTTCATTTGGCCAATGCAAAGAGAGGTCATGTATGCATGATGTGTATGAGGATATCCCTTAACAGCAAAGATTATGGCTTTATCTGTTATATACTAACATCCTCTAATCCCTCTATAATTACTGCAGAAGGTACAGGATAATAACTTGCATTTCATTAAATGTGCAGCGTAATATAAGTAATCTCCTGTCTATAAAGTGATTAGTTCGCCTGGCTGATCCTATACTGTGCAATGATATTCTGCTGCTATCTTGACGTATCCTCGTAAAGCCCCCAAATACCCCTATTATCTGAAGAAATGTTGTCCTGCAATGGGTAAATTATGTCTTTCTAGATAAAATTCCTCCACAAACATGAGCGAATAAATTATCTGTTAATTTGCTCTGTTTTTAATATCTCAAAGTAACTCCATTGCAGCTAAATATCTGCTCACTACTAACTGGAGAAGCACATGCTTGGCTTTGAACTCGTTTGTGTCTTAAAACGCGAGTTTTAAGACAAAACCCCTCAGATTTGAACAAATTAGCATCATATAGGCCAGATGAATAACACTGCATCATTCTTTCTCCCTAAAGACGGGCCCACAGGCCCCACTCTGGGCACTGCTGGCTGGGACTGCATGGGAGCACTCTGCTCTGCCACATGCTGAATACTCTTACCTGCTGTATTTCTGTCCTAACCACCACGTTCATGTTGTCAAGTGTCTCTCGAGCTTTGTGCCCAGTTTAAGCAAAACACTCATGTCGATATCTTGTGTTTCAATAAATAAAGACAATGAGGGAGATAATAATAATAACTCAATTTTTTCATCAGCACGTGCTGATTATGTTGTGTCCAGGAAAGAGAAAATGTGAAAGGCAAAGACACAGGGAAATGCCAGCACAGCTGTTTCAGCAGCTGATGCTGTATTGCTGAGTATGACCCAGATAGAAAGTTGGATGTTTCCGACGTCAAGAAGCCGGTCGGATCTATTAACCTCTCTAGAAAGCTCTTTTAGATGTCGGGCTGGGTATGTAGTGGAATCTAGTTATGATTATGCAAGCTTCTTTATGGCAGGCAGAATATAACGCACACAGTAGAATATGAATTCTTAATTTAGTCAAGTAACAGAGCATTTCAAAGTTGTGAAAAGTGGAAATATGCAGTCACACTCCCTTGGTGTTTGAAGTGTTTTTTAGTGCCTCCATTAAAGCACCATAAGGGCTGTCTCTACTGCCCCTTTCATCTGCAGAAGGCGGATAGAGTTGTCGATTGGCCTCAATGACTTGATGATTACTTGTCAGATATTTCAGCAGCAAGAGCTGAAAAGTTTCACTCTACAAGCAAAACAGCATATGACAAATCAGCATTATTATAGCATGGTGATATATCTGCTCTTCGTTAGCATATCCTTTTAGATTCTTGCTCTAATTAGCCACTTTACTCATCATGGAAATGTCACTTTCTCAATTATGAAATTGACAAGCCCCCATAGCTAAACATTACTGATGCCAATATATGCAGAGAGCCACTATCTATTTCTCAAATCTCCTCTACTTTATTGCCTAACTACAAACAGTGCAATTTATTCTTAACTTGGGAATGGTTTATGCTGCACTAACTAAAACCTTTACATAAACAAAGGCTTAAATGACTTTTAAGACATTTAAAAAAAAAAAAGGCTTAAATGACTTTTAAGACATTTAAAAAAAAAAGGCTTAAATGATTATTTATAATGTGAAATGGGTTGCTTGTTATGATGGACCCAGTGAGACTTATGACTGAATATGCAGTTTCTTTCATCTTTGAAAAGCATTTTAGTGTCTTTTAGCTCATTGTTTTGGTTTTCTGGCCCATAACTCTCATCATAGCTTTTATCAACATCATATCAGCACGCAGCCTGTTTTCAGTAAAAAAGCTCCTGACTAGGATTAAACAAAAGAAAAACTAAGTTAGCAACTAGCTGACGAACATATTGGAGCATTAAACAGCTAAAAAGCCAGATATTTTCCTCTGGACTTTATATAGTCCAAAACAGAGCTACAAGCGTTATTGCACTATTGTCATTTATTAGGCGGACGGACACGGAGTAGTCCCGGAATACTTGTTAATGTTGCTCTCTTTCTGCTGGATGAATTTAAATAGGCCATCATTCCATCTGTGTTTTTGAATTAGGGGCCCGTGGGGCACAGCTCCACCAGAGGGTGCTGTTGTTCAGAAGAAGTTCTCGGCTTTTCACGATGTCAGACACAATAATGGCAAAACTCAACGTTGTCTACCTCGTACAATTTTTGATCATATTCTAAAATGTCATCTCTTTTTTAGTTATTCGTGCATGGAGCTGCTTGCTCGTTCCCGCTTGGTGGGGCACTGTCCCCTAGAAGCATCCCATTAGTTGATTTTAATGGTGCAAGGCTGCACACATCTTACTAGCTAGCTAAAGAGGGACTGATATTGTACTTACGTTAACGTTACAACAATAGTGATGAATCGTGTAGAATATTTAACTATTAGCTATTAGCTTAACTATTATTAACTAGTTTGATTTAGCGATTTACCCCTGGAGCAAAAAAAACTAAAACATTTGGGTCCACATCTGCTGGATGACCTATTCATATCTCAAGAAGGAAAAGATTAAAAAAGATCATTCAACCACAAGAAGTTTAAAAGAAAAAAGAAAAAAAGCCCTGTTTTGCTTTATATGTCCTCTTTTCAGAGAAGAAACTGTCTGGACAGCAAGTGGATTTAAAAAGAATAAGTAAAACACAGGAGTTGTGCATCGCATGTGGATAATGCCATCAAGTTTGGCTCACTGGGAACAACGAGCGTTGCCTCTTAGCTTGATGGCGCGTACAGACGTGGCATTGAACAATACAGCCGTCAGACTGAAGGAAACAGGTATGTTCTTGGCAGAAATATAACCGGTATGAAACCTTGTGGAATGTGTGATGTGACATTGCCTTGCGTGGACATGATGAGTCTGCCGGCTGGTTAAAGCCTGGCCTTATAAGATGCATATTTGAGACTATGTGCGAGGGAGACTCCAGACTAAGGACCCAACCCTATTTTAAGGGCACTTTAGCCATTATTCAAAACTAACTTTTGGATTGCACGTGCAATGTTTACAAGGATGAGGTTGCTCAATAGATGACAAATGCACCTTTGGTTTCCGATCATGAGTCAGCTATTTGATGTGGAGATATCTTGAACGTTGTCCTTTGGTGGTCCTATATGTTGGTATGATGAGATATGTCGCCAGATCCTCATTGTGTGATTTTAGATGGCATTATTCGGCTGAATGCTTCATCTCTGAAGTTGGTGATACATTGGTCACAGCAATCTCAGTGTCTCCGCTCTCTCACACGTGCACAGTTTATGGTTGTGAGAGTATGGATCATGTTATCTATGGTATGTTTGGATTGCATCACCACATTTTCTTGTATAAATAGTCTGTGGCCCCACCAGAATTTTTACAGAATAGAATAGAAGAAATAGAATACAATGAGAGGCGACTAACCTGTGGTGTCATACCATGACAGAGGTACATGATAGGGACATTATCAGTGTCAGGTCCTTGGTCCAAACACAGGTTGTCTCTTAGATTGTTCTTCAACTGGAAAAATGACAGAGATAAGACGGATGATCCATCTCATTTTGATCAAACTTTCAGCAGATGGGATTTAACGGGCGAACATATAACTAATGATGGCAGACTGCAAAAGTTCAAGCAAGAAAAGGAGGACACCTCTCTCTCACACACACATTTAGTCATCAAATTAGCAGCACTATTAAACAAATTGCTTTCCTCACTTAACACAACTTGCATTTCAGGCTGCCAAAGCTCAGCAGCCTTATTTTATCACAAAACATGGGAAAAAGCAAAAAACAACAACAGCTCATCTTTTGTGAAATACCTTAATAAATCCTTTGTTGTCCTTTGTTTCTGATGCTTTTTAAAACTAATATCAACTGAGTTTTCGCTTCAAATTTCTTTGAAGGAACAGTTCCATAATTGGGGAATATAGTCCTATGCTGTGAGAGAGAGATGATTATTCTGATGTGCGTTCAGTTAGGAGCTGGAGTCAGGAAGTTATTAGCTTGCGTTAGCATGAACACTGGATGCTAAAATCACACCTACCATCAGCCAGCCAACCTGGTCTGTGTAAGTCACAGACTCACCCAAGATCATTCTCCTCATCTCACTCTTATATAGAAGCATTTCTCATAAATGTTTAAATATAATGTAATACAACACGTCTCTGGTTTGACTTATAAACAAGATTTGAGAGTCTTTCAAAACTTCACAAATAGAAGGCAAGTGTTAGTGTTTTTAAATACTAATATATTGGAGTCCTAGGGGGCCCCAGTCAAAAACACCTAATTGCAGCCTGTGCTGTTTTAATAGATAACAAAAGACTAGATAGATACAGGGGTCCTAATTTAAAGAAGGACACACTGTCAGGGGGTAGAGGAACTCATTTCGAAGGAGACAGACACATGTTTCCTTACGTGTCTATTTTCATTTGACACAACAAGCAAATAATTGTATCTTCTCTAAAATAATAATAATTTTTGTTTGTAGAGATGCCATTGATTACATAAATAATAATGTTGTTAGAAGAAGTTAGTAAAGATTCTGCTATAATGGTTGTTTCTAGTGGTTTATTCTTGAGGACCCCATGGTCCCCAGTACGTAGGCCATACATATGTGGAATAAGATGAGGCTTGATTTGGCTTTATTCCACAGTGAATTATAGAATGTGCAATATATGAAAATCAACACAATCAATCAGCAATAACTTGCCCTTGTGCTAAGTGCCTCGTCTGCTTAATTGTAATGATATTGCCTTGCTCCCAGATCTCAGCAACTAACTCAGTTAAAGCTATAATGCAATTATAACCAAACTCAAAGTCAAACCTACAGAAGTCCATATTGTAATGAACAAGGATTAGGAAAATCTTAAAGCTAAAGAATGCAATTTTCTTCTGGACACACCTTTAAGCTGAGACTGATACTCAAAATCACACCAACTCAGTTCTGGTTTAGAAGAACTGTGAGAGTTGGGTGCATGACTTCAAATATAATGTTTTTAGGTGTTATTACCTAAACCTACTCAGTTATCATTTACTTTATATAAATAATTTGAAGGTACAAGTTCATGTTTCAGAGTAATGGACATTTCCAGCTTCAGAGTTGGATGATAGTTCTCTGTGGATTTGGTGACACCTTTTACATTACAACCACCCATTCCTCTCAGTGTAAAGCACAATCATCAAATCAGTAATCGTGTTATGAAGATTGATGCGTTATGATTATTGGTTTCCTTTCAGGGATAATAGTTTAGTGAATACACATTCAGAGAGCTTGAATGTTATGGCTGCCTTTGAATTGTTCAGGATCTGTTGTGGTAAAAGTTTTTTTGTCAAATATGCTTTGAGGATAACAATTGGATTTGGTTTAGTGGGGACATTTATCCAAGTGAAGAAGTGCTACAGTTTTGTACTGAAGTTGGAAGGGCGTGGTCAGAGTGGATGGAGGGCATACGAAGTGCAAGGCTTTGACCGGAATGCTGAGGTTCACTTCCTGTATAATGCGTGCGGCTATGTTTGGTGAAGCTTAGTGACAGATTGTGGGTTTGGTTTAATAAAGTAAAGGCATCATGTCTTGTGCTTCCAGTACGGCAACTTTGAACTTTGTCAATATTTTAACAAAACAACAATCTTTCCCAACAGCTTAACCACATATTTCTGAACATAACCTCAACGTTATTAACTATTCATTCAGATACTGTATTGCAAGAGCGGGTATTAAATTATATTAAATTAAATAAGTTGTCAAGTTGTTTTGCTGATATGGTCATTATAAAGGTTTTACAGATATGTTCAATAACAAGATTTCTATTTTTGCTAATAAAAAAATTCATGCTAAATACACACAGTAAAGCCGAGGCATGTCATTAGCTATACAGGCATTTGGCCATAAACCAAAGTATTGGACAAATAAAAGATTTGACCCGATCGAGGTGCTAAATACAAAGTCAGGGGATCACCAAAGTTATTGCAATTAATCCTGAGGGGAACATAAATGTATGAACCAATTTCTTGGTAATCCATCAAGAAATTGTAGAAGTTTCTCTCAAAACCACAGGTCAACCATACTGTAGCACTAGAGGAGAAGTCATGGGATAAACAAAGTCATCAGCATTCCTCCTCTGGGTACCACAAATGTCTGCACAAAGCTTCATATGAATCCATCCAGTAGTTATTTCAATCTGGACCAATCTGGTGGGCCGACCGACTGCCCAACCAACACACCAACATTGGTAACCCTACAGTCATCCATTGAGCTCTGGGAGACTTGTCATGACCTCAGACCTTCTAAACATGTGTCTAAAAAGATCAACCAACCAGGTTCATGGCACTGTGTGAATGTGTTTCATTTAAAACAGCTTGACAAATCTTGATATAATGTCTCTTTTTTGGACAATATTTACCTTGTGTGAGCAGTGCATTCCTCCAGCTTTTGTTTCATGTACTATGAGAGATGAGTGCATAAACAACATCCACAGATGGTGTAACACGATTTGTACTCTCTCCAACTGCAATCTCCTGTGAGAGTTTGTGTTTGTCAAATATGTAAACTTCATATCTACATCTCTCTGATGTCACAGTGGCAACGCTTTCATCTCAATCAAAGCTGAGCCCCTGCACATGCTCAGTACTGTCAACAAATAGCGCCATCTCGCGCTGTGATTGAAGTGTTTATCGAACAACAAACACAAGAAGTGACACTAAAGCTGTGAGCTGTTTCAGGCTTAGAGACTCGGAGTGGAACCATACCACCTTTTCCCCATCAAGTCATAACTTTCTTCTCCTCAGTGACAGACTTTGCGCCAATAAAGCTGAAATAATAAGACCTGAAGGAAATAGGTGTATGATGATTATTTTCAGATTTCATTCAGGCTCTCAGAAGACAGATAACTCAAACTATATCTGTACTCAAGTTTAAAAGGTTAAGATGAGACTGCAATCAGAGACTGCAGTCAGTTAGTGCGGTGGGATAATTCTGCTCAGCTTTCAATAGATTAGTGTCATTTTTCAATTATGCAAAGTCCTCCCACACTCCTGAGCTGAAGAGAGGAATAGTCATGCGTAAAGTAAGTGGAGAAAAAAGGTTCACCCTTTCAATGCCCCGCCGCTGTGATTTGAAGTGAGCTCTTAAAGCATAGAAGCATATATGACATAGTGTGTATGCAATTAGACTCGGTATTAATAGAAAAGTTAACTTTTACAGCTTGAAGTACTTTGAAAAGTTGTGCTTTTTTGCAAGTGTTTCGTCATGATGAAGTGTTAATGCTATTTAAGGGCTATTTTGGTGCTTATCACATGTTTGGTTTGTTATTATAAAATGTTCTGGCAAAATAGTAAAACTATAGTGCCAAGCTAAAGAAAAAGCTTTTAGCCTAAATAATGGAAAAGGTAAGGCTTATACAGCTTGAAATAGGTGGAAACGTGTCTTAGTTTAAAAGTTAAGTAAAGAGGAGGTCTCTAGTGAAAATAATGAGCCAAACACAGTGGAACAAAGACAGGACTTTAACCCAGGAGATCACTGTTCGTGTCCCATGAAAGTCAATGTTGACTTATTTTACCGGAGTTATGTTATATAATTTACATACTTAACGCATAACCAAGACATTTTGTTGCGTGAGTAAACCTAAAGACTAAGCTACTTCTGCCACAGAAGAAAACGCTATCTGGGCACTCGATAGTAGCATAACATGGAAATACTCATTAGAAGTAAAACTACCTCAAAACTATACATAAATAAAGTAATTATAGTCAGATATTTCCCTTATGAGAGTGGGTATTTGACTCAAACATTACTCCAAATAAATGGTAATGTTGCTCTGCGTCTACTGGATTTGCAAATAGGCAACTGCATAAGAAAAGGTTCCCTATAACAACTTTATAAGATGATAATATGTCAATGTTAAGGCAATGTTATGGTTTGAATAAAACCTAAACAAAAAAATTCCCATAAAGAGTCAAACAAGGTATTCAAACAATAATATAAAATAGTGTCAACCTGATCACAACATTCAAAAATATGAAAGCAAAGCAGAGGCCATAGTTACATGGATACCTGGGGGCCAGAGCAGGCAACATTGAGTCCTATTTAAAACTGCTGGCTAAGGTAAATCGAGTAAGATTATTATTCACGTCGGCGGTAATGACACCCGACTATGGCTCCAGTGGCTCCACCGAAATAACATTATATTTCCCACAATTTAAGTTTCTGCATTTTCCAAACGCACTAGTATTATTCAAACGTATTGTTCGGTTCGTAAGCCTCGTACCAAACGGTTTAATACGAATACGTGTATTGTTACACCCCTAGAAACAAATAATAACCGTAGCTGTGGCTCATGAGGTTATTAGGAGGTGGTTCAGCTGTAGTCGGACAGCACTGAGGGCCCAGGTATAAAATGCATGGCCCGCCACTGATGTTAACACATTTTTAGAAGTCCTTGCTGGCAAGCTGCCACAATAAAGGCAGATTAATTTTAGCTCCTATTTCTTATTCTTCTCTTGGGAGTTTCTGTATGTGTGACAACCAGTGGGAACCAATCGGGAAAGTAAACATGTATGGTGTCGTGTTTGTCCAACTGTGGGCTGGCATCCAGACTTTGTGAACTTGTTCCTGTGGGTTCCTAAATCAATAGCAAGCTATCTAAGCATATTGATAAATGAATCTTCTAAAATTAAGGCTGCAGACTGAAGAATAGGAATCTTGAGAATTAAGGGGAAAAAAATGAACTCACCACTCCGTAAGCAACTGTGTTGCTGTAGGATCGGAGCTCAGGGTAGATGTTGGAGAGGAACCAGCTGAACGGCCGGCACTGGAGTCTGGATCGCAGGGCTTTTCTCTCAGTAATGTCCCCAATGTCTATTCCTGACTTCTAAAGAGGGAAATAAATACAAACCCATCTGAGTATACATTCTGGGTATTTCACCTATACTCTAACATCTGCATTTAAAGCAGCTTTGGAGTCTGGACCTCTGGTTCAGGTCTAGTGTTAACAAATATAATCAGAATTGATCATGAATCAAAAACATTTGATTATCGATAAGTAGTTTAAGTCAAAGCAAAATTCCAAACATTCGTTGGTTCAAGCCCTTTTCCTATACAAACCTCTGTCCGTTGCTGTTGTTCGGGAACCCGAATTATTCACAAACAACAGATTTAAAGGATGCAGGCAGGTCTTCCATCTCCAGTGTTTCATATGTGATCGTCATGTGTGACTGACTCACACAAATCAGCTTGTCATGCTAACCTCAGCACATGTTGGTAAAAGCTAAACGTTCTGCGTTATGTGCATCAATCTACATTTTGTGTATTTGTGTGCGGCTGTGTGCACCTGACCGAGACCGTTACAGCCCTAATGCACACAATTATGCCCACTCTCACTCTCCAACATACTAAACAATTCCAGTGTCAAAATCCCGACACACACATGTGTGCTGTCTGTTTACCTGCAGTGGAACATTCCAAGCCATGTAGACGTGACTTTTGTACTGGTCCATCCAGACCTCAGCCACCCTCAGAGCGTTACGACGCACATGGGCTGTCAGGTTCACTGTGTAGGGTTTGTGGGTGCGCTCGATGTGTGCAATCCTCGAACAGGGTAGGACCTCCACACTGCCGCCACACTGCCACACCTGTGTTACACGTAAACAAACATGCAGCCAAATTAGTGACTGCAGGGACTCAAAATAAAGGTATGGATATTTTCAGTACCTGCCAGTTAAATCTCTGTTCTCTAAAGAGGGGATCAAAACCTTGCTGTGACTGAGCCTGCTGTGTAGAATTATCATGAAAGCTATCATAGGAGCACACTGAGTATGGCCACTGAAGTGGACATTATTTATTATCATTTTATTTAATATTACAGTTTTTTGACAAATTGGAAGCTTTCAAATATGTCTACACAGCTTTACTACAAGCCCATGGATGTGACTTAAGTGTGCAGCCCTTTAGCATGCTTTGACAGAAGAGTTATTCCGTGTCAAATCAGATAGAGCTTTTTGTGTACATTTTACATTACATTATACAGTATATCTGTAAGGTATATGTATAGTTGGCACCCAACAGACATCATCCTATGGATCTCACTTATAGGTACCAAAAAACAACGCAATTATCAAAATTCACTCAAAATATTTTGCAGTATTTATTTTTTGTGTCAAATAGCATACACAAGGTATCTGTTTTTGACACAGAATGACCCAGTTGGGTCTGTGTTCATTTAGTTGTACTACAGAAGTACAGGTATGTAAGCAAGGGTATGCTCAGGTAACTGAGGACCATGTGTGGCCAAGGGACCAGCTTGCATATAAATCTTAATATTACATATATAAACTTCAGCTGCTTTACTCTCGTTCTCATTAACTGATATATCTGCATTTATTTAAACTCACACTTTGATTTCCTTCATGGCTTCCATTTTATCTGTCATTTCAGTGTCTTTCACCAACTATGTTTCGATCTCCACTGTGTTTCAACAATTTCAAATGTTTCAACTCCAAACTTTCAGCAGGGAGCAGATGTAAATCTAGATGTCACTGCACTGTTCAATAGCACTGCTCAAAAGTCTGCAGCGGGCACCTTAGTAGTCCAGTGTACCGACCAGACAAGAGCTGGAATGCTGACTTGAATACAAGCGCCGATTCTCTCTATTTGAGTCCTGCACTTTGTTTGTGTGTTTGAGCTATAATCCATACTCTTTCCCTGCATCTTTTCAAAGCAAGGAGCTAAAACAGAACAACAATAAAACCCTACACCTGGCCTGGCGCCCAGGCAGGAACATAAACTAGAGCCAAATTCTGAGATAATACACGCTTCCCTCAAAAATACCTCGACATTCTCTAGAAAGGATTTACAACACCGGGTTAGAGTATAATGAGCTATTCTTCAAGCATAACAATCTATGACTGTGCATGTGGGTGTGTGGAGCGAGATAGGAAATAAGATGAGAAAAAAACAGATGGTGAGGTGAAAGAGAAAGAGAAGATTCAGAGTGTGAAACATTGAACAGAGAAGGCGAAGGCATAAAAGCAAAGGGAGATAAAGTGATAAGTATGGAGAGAAGAAGAAATAGAGGGGGAGAGAATAATAGCTTCTACTCGTCTTTTTGAGTCATACTTTTCAAAAGCCCTTTCTTTTTTGTTTTGATATCTTCACTCTAAATAAAAAGCATTATATGGTCATGAGCTAAGTATTACCCAGAAGACATCATTGTGACGTTGAGTAGTTGCAGTGTATGTGTTTGCGTTGGCATCCAATGTCTGGAACTTGTGTCTGGCTGATTTGTCTGTGTCAAGCAGACAAAGCACAACTCATTTACATTCCTAATTGTCTCTCAGTCCGTCTTCTTTGGTTTAATGCAAAACAAATCTCGCTTGCAGACTTGTGTTTTTAAAGTTTTAATGAGAAAATGAGAGGCGAAAGACAGCGATAAATGACGTAAATTATAAATCATGCAGAGGACGACCAGCAATCTTGATAAGACGGCATGAGACAATGGGAATTAAGTATGCACCATATTGTGCCACAGTGCAGATGAAGCTTCATAAAAGCAATCTTTATCACAATAGCAGTGTGCAGGCCAGAGATATGGAACACTTCTGCAGAAACTGGGAGAAAAACGACATTGCTGATAACAAAAGGCGCCTGTGTTTGTATGAGGGAGATGGAAATAGAACAACTGGGTGTTTTTTAAACCTCGAGTTGAACTCATATGAGGACTTAGTTACAGCAATGACCTTCAGACAGATATGGGGAACTGTTTTTGTCAAACATTTTACTACTGATTTACATAATCATTGATCTGCAAAGGTCTCTTTTGCAGTGGTCTATTACTTTAGCAAAATTGAAATATTGACTTTTTCTTGATGTGTTTATAGCATGTACATATATATATATGTGCCAGTGGTGTATAAAGTACCCAAAAGCCATACTTGAGTAAAAGTAAAGATACCTTGCTGGAAAACTAGTCCAGTAAAAGTAAAAGTCACCTATTCGAATACTACTTGAGTAAAAGTCTTAAAAGTATCTGATATTTATTGTACTTAAGTATCAAAAGTAATTTTCTGATATTAAATGTACTTAAGTATTGAAAGTAAAAGTACAAGTAAATGCTGTTAATAAAAAAGCAAAGGGTCAGAATTTTGAGAATTATGAAGTTTATTCTTTTAAGTGCTGTGGCCACCAGGACCAAGGACATGGAGCTGTGTTGAAAATAATTGGGTTGGCTGTGATCCATCCAGGAGCAACAATGTTCAACATAACATATTGTACATAAGTATACTTTTGCATCTACTATGAACTTATCATCATAATTCTCCGTAAAGCAATATGACACTATGAAGGAGTTGTAACAGTGCGTTTATAAGTATGCTCATTCCGACTAGAGGATGTAGAGGGCAAATGCATAATATTGTGTTCAGCAACAAATATCCACTTGATGCATCAGGTCAGTGTTGTGAGAAAGGACACCTGCCTTGTAAACTTCTATGGGCCTGAATTGAACACAATAGGCAAAGGTTTTGCTCAAGCTGAATCTGCAATTGGGCGACTGCTACCATCATAACTCCATCTGATCATCCACAAAATGACTCAAATATCAAAACATGATCAATACTAGAGCAGCACCGAAAGTAACAACCCAGTCATTACTTGAACCTGAAAAATGTCCTGTTCATCTTCAAAAGAAGCTGGTTTTCAAAATTGCGAGAATTCCATCTTGTTCTTCTTGGGCTGAAGACTAGTCCTGCGATGCTAAATAGCCTTTCACAGGCCGCTGAGGCAGGTAGAGGTGTGTTCAGCTTCTCAGACAGCTTGCGCACAGCTGGGAAGGATTTCCCTAATGCTGCGCTCTCGCGGCTCCTCTCAATCCTATGGTGTGGTGGCTAGCTAACGTTAAGTTAGCTAGCCACCACACAACAAAATCTCACAACTGTCAACACTTCCTCAGCTCACTAACTCGCTAGCGATCCTCGGGTGTTGGTCTTCGTCACCACCGTAGTTTGTTGCGGGAGTAGCAGGAGCTTCCATTTCTGCTTCCGTCATGAAATCAGTTATCGTAGAGTGGAATTCTACTTATGTAGTCGCTCGCTAGCTATAGCATATAGCATCCTGGGTATCACTGGGAATCAAAACACCGCAGCTTTGAGAGCACGTGTTTGCAATTGCGCATTAACGTGATTAACCAATGATTTAACTTGCAAGCTAGGACCACTGATTCGCCAAACCTGCTTGCTTGCAGTCTGTGTTCCACCACAGTCCCCGACGCTGGTCTCATGATTCATTTTGTTTCTAAAGATAGATTTGATTTTGTAACGAGTAACGAAGGTTTCAGGGGAAATGTATCGGAGTAAAAGTATCAGTTTTCTTTGCAAAATGTAGTGAAGTAAAAGTAAAATCAACAGAAATATAAGTAGTAAAGTAAAGTACAGATATCCAAAAAAACAACTTAAGTATAGTAACGAAGTATTTCTACTTCGTTACTATACACCACTGATATGTGCTATGATGACTTAAACACCCCTTTGGCACTGGTGTTTGCCAAAGTAAAGAAATTTCAAAACTCTGGCTGATGTTCTTGCGAACGTTTTGTTGCCTTACACCCGCTCAAAAACCTCACGTATGGATAAATAGATGGGGGTAAATCTGTCCAGCTGAAGCCCACCCTGAACCAATCCTATGAACAGCAAAGTGCCAACAACCACACAGAAAGGTCAACAGTAGCTTTGAAAAGGCTTTCCCCTCAAAACAGGTTAATTTCAGTTCAGTGTTTGTCGTCATAGCTGAAGAGGGCAACTGATTTGCAGCACTGTGTGTGACTCTTGGCCCTCCTTTATGCAGAGGCTAAAGTCTAATATGGGCAGAGCTGCTGACAGCTGGAGGGTGCATCTAATGTAGGTCAGAGAAGCACTAACTGCTGGGGTTACAGCGACAATATTGAGATCTCCTCCCGCAGAGAGTCCGTCTGTTCGTGGCCTCGCTGCTTATGCTTTGCGGTTGAGCCATTTGTCTCAACAGTGGGGGGAGGGGGGTTATTCTATAGAGTACTGGGCACTGGTGGTCACAGCACCACGAGGAGCTAAGGAGAAAACCATTATTGGACTAATAGGCTACTGGACTGTAGAAGTCTGACATTCAAGCCTCCTGTGGAGAAAGACAAAACACTGCACAAAGGCTTTCTATTAACCAGAGAAAGACACGTTGCTGGCAATGACCGACAATGTGCAGAAACAACCGGTCATTTTAAGCCTTTGGTAGATTTGGCACTCCATCCCGTCGGCTCCGCTCCTCTGATGCCAACCTCCTGTCCCTTCCACTGAGGACCAAGCACCGGACATGGGGCGACAGAGCCTTCTCCATTGCTGCCCCCTCCCTCTGGAACTCCCTCCCCAAACACATCCGAGACTGCACTGACCTTTCCATGTTCAAATCACAAATCAAAACCCACCTTTTCAGAACTGCTTTTAATGTGTGACCAATATTGTGTGTTTTACTAGCGTCCAGTGCCAATGTTCAGTGCTAATGTCCAGTGCCAGTGTCCAGTGCCAATGTTCAGTGCTAATGTCCAGTGCTAATGTCCAGTGCCAATGTTCAGTGCTAATGTCCAGTGCCAATGTTCAATGCTAATGTTCAATGCTAATGTCCAGTGCTAATGTCCAGTGCCAATGTTCAGTGCTAATGTTCAATGCTAATGTCCAGTGCTAATGTCCAGTATCAATGTCCAGTGCTAATGTCCAGTGCTAATGTCCAGTGCCAATGTTCAATGCTAATGCCCAGTGCCAATGTTCAGTGCTATTGTCCAGTGCTAATGTCCAGTGCTAATGTCCAGTGCCAATGTTCAATGTCCAGTGCCAATGTCCAGTGCTAATGTCCAGTGCTAATGTCCAGTGCTAATGTCCAATGCTAATGTTCAATGCCAATGTTCAGTGCTAATGTCCAGTGCTAATGTCCAGTGCCAATGTTCAATGCTAATATCCAGTGCCAATGTTCAGTGCCAATGTCCAGTGCTAATGTTCAGGAAGTAGTGTGCTCTTTAGGTCAGGGGGGCGATGGTATGTAGCTAGTCTGACTTTTATGCAGAAGACCAGAGGTTATTATTTACATAACCACAATCTTTCCCCAATCTTAATGTTAACCATAGTTGCCATGTGCTGATATTGTAGAACGTGATAGTGTGGAAAACCTTTGCGTTGAATTGTCCACTCTATGATTATGTCTGGTGATGGAATTGGGAAAAAAAGTGCTGTCTCTTGTCACATATTTAGAATGGAAGTATATTTGTCTCATTAGTGACGGATGTGCAAATTGCCCTAGAAATACTAATGCTAGCAGTGTGCTCCCAGTAATAGATAGTTGACAATGACCAGACTTGCTGTCAAGCTGGCTACACTATAGTTGGTGTGGGATGGTCATTAGTGGTTTGGAAGCAAAGGGAATAGAGCAATACAACTAGTATACATGTGCCCTAAAGTTGCAGTTCCTTTAATGGACATTAGATGCTGGCCCCAAGAAAGAAACTGCATTTAAATCACAAAAACAACAAATCAATTTACCACAAGAAGTTGAGGTCACTGCAGGTTATTTCTCTATTTCAGAATCATTATTAAAGACGTATTAGGAATAAAAGATTATATTTGTAAAGCGAGCAATTTTGACTTTTTGTGCCTACTTTTTACTCTCCTATTTGCTTCTAGCTTGTCCCACTTTAGCTCAACTCAAACTTCATCCTCCTTTGCCTACATTTTGACCTTCTGGCTCCTCTCCATATTTTTCTACAGCTTATTGGTTGACAGTGGAAATGTATTTTATTGGAAACTGGATAGGATTAAAAGATTTATTTCAGGGGAAGATAGTGTGGCAGCAACAACGATCAACACCCCATGACTGGACACAATAAGAGGAACGTTAATGACAATGTCGCTGCATTGTGTAAGTTGTGTAAGTATTTCTTTTTTTCTTCTTCTCCTAGCATTGATTGTCCATTAAATTATTGTCCAGTGGTCCATTCAATCTGAACCTGACATGGTCAAACCTGAGAGATTTATACATGTTTCAGTGTGATGTGTTCTTAACCCAATGGCTCGGTCAGCATCGATGAGGACTGGGGTGATAATCAGACCTGTACCTCACTGACAGTACACTGTTAATCACTCTATACTAAGCCTGAGTCAACAGTTTCCTTCAGATATCTCCTGTGTCAGTTCACACTCAAAGTTGTTCCAACAGTTGCGTCTTCTAGGGATTGATTTGCAGTCTCAAAGGATGGTGCTTTAGAGCCCTCTTCCTCTGGAGACCAGATTAGAGATGAAATCCTTGCAGTAACTGTTGATGTAACTGTGGTTGAGCTACTAAAAAGGGATTTAAATCCTGTTGATGCTAAATTCTGCCAGAAATGCAACGGAATTTAAATAACAGAAAATGATATTGATCATATAATACATGTAAAGTAATGAAGGTTCATTTTATATATGAAAAAACAATATTTTTGAATGTAATTTTTTTAGCCTACATTAAATCACAATGCTATCTGGCAGTTGTTAAATCATTAGTAATGAGCTCAGTTGGCTTGAGTCAGACTGAATGAGTAATGTGAATGACTGCTGAAACCCCCATTCTGTCAAAGGAAAGGCCCTTCTTATTTTCTGTATGCTGGATATTTCAGTTTGGATGCTGACAATGGTTTATGCCTCTACGGTGTACAGCTCAGGACACAAATTACACTGTGCAGAAAAGTATAGTGCTGGCATGTGGTTACTGGGGCTGTGTGGCCAATAAGATACAAGTTCTCAAGCCGACTCACCCTGATGCCAAGCTCCACGTTTTCTCCACCATATATCTCCATGCCTTCATCTAGCAGGCCAATCTCCTCAAAGTACTTCCTGTCGACCACAAAGCAGCCGATCAGAGCAGGGCTCCTAAAATAGAGGGTGACAAGAGACAGAGTCAGAGAAAAGGAAGAGATAGAATATGTTTCGTATTTAGATAAAGCCTAGCAATTGGGGAGTTTAAATGCAAAATATTCTTCAAGACACACACACAAGCAGTCCTAAACCACAACGTAACCCACACTGGGCAACAGGGCCCTTCAGATGCACTCATATCTGATGTTCTTAACCATTGCCTTTCTTTATAACGTATGCAGTCCATCGGGCTTAGAACATCTCTCAACATGATGCTTTCACCTAAAACAACTAATTCAGGACATTTTGAGGAAATATATTTTTCATCAACATCAAACTGAATCAACAAGAGTTCAACTAAATAAATAAATCATATTAGTATTCATGCTGTCACACATCTTTTCTTATCAAAACAAAATACATCACCACCTGAAAAACGGCTTGTTTTGGTGAATATCTCCTTTCTCTGTGGATAGACAGAACTCTCAAACAAACTAAAAGCAAAAATGCATTAACATATTATTTTCTGTACAGATAACAGAACAATGAAATTCAAATATCACATAGAGTTATATTATACTGCTTAATCTCAACAATAGCATTGTTTGCTCCATAACACGTCATGTGCAAATAAAGAATAAGTCTATGAATAGTAACTATGAAACAGTGGTATTGAGCTCCACTTACATCTAATGTTTTAAGTAGATGATAAGTTAATGGTAGCATAGCATGTTGCATCAAAATGATTTATGTGAAATAAAGGTGTGATGTTTCTGCCTGAAATGATAAAATGTTAGCCCCGGGCAAAACTCAGTTTAAATCAGATATTTCCACACACTGTGCCACTTCATGCAGCTCTTCTTAGCTCAGGCATTATCATTGGCTGGCAGAGTCTGTGGAAATATTGGATTTAAATGTTGGTTTCAAACAGGCGGCAACCTCCAGTTCTGAAAAGGGAAGCCGATGCAAAAGTGCCTTAAACTTGCATTCTTTGTCAAGGCCATCAGGGGGCGACTCCTCTTGTTTCAAAGGTCTGGTTGTATAGAAGTCTATTAGAAAATGACCCTACTTCTCACTTGTTATTTTTTTTACCTCCGTTGGTCTCACTAATTTCAAGTCATTTAGTAAGTTATGGTCCATTTAGAGTAAAATTCACCATAAAGCAGGGTATGCTTTAGGGCGGGGCTACCCTGTGATTGGCAGGTTGCTACCGCGGCGTTTTCCGGTCTGGGAGTTGTATGTTTACAACTTCATCCCTTTCACAGTGTATTTGCACCTCATGAAGGTTGTAACATTTTGGTAGCTTGAAAATGTCTTGTTCAGTATTCGGTTGTACTTAGTTCCACCCTCTTGTGTCACTTCTGGTTCCAGATAAACAAGATTTCCAGGGTCAAAATGCTGAACTTAAGGCTTCAAAACAGCAGTCCACAAATTGATGAAGTCACCGTGACGATGTCCACTTCTTATGTACAGTCTCTCACCCAAAACATTTTATTCATTAGGTTGAGGTCATCAATGTGGCCTGCAAACCGGGAGAGATTTAAATGTGCCCCAATTAGACTAGATTTACTGCTCTAGTGGAAGTGGGGTCATTTTAACATCACCTGCACCGGTCAGTGATTTCATTTGGTCAGTGTAATGCGTATGTGGATAATATTTAACTCCCAGCTGCTATGACCTGTTTTTCTGTAAACTCGCTGGTCCTAAAACTCCGTACGGAGGAAGGTCCTTGTATTTTTGAAACTCTGTGTCTTATAAGAGGTGCTTGTCCATCTCCAGTTTAGGAATTATGAATTATGCCATTTAAAGCCAGCAGGCTTCAACATTCTTTTTCATCAAGATATTATAGCAAGTGTTCTTTTCCATGCTGCTGTGTGTTGGGGTGGCAGCATTGCAGCTGTAGATAGGAACAGGATCAATGTTTTCCAAGAAGACAGAATCTATTATTGGCCTGACTCCAGATCCTCTGGAGATCCTCACAGAGAGGGGAACCAGAAGGAAGCTTAGGGGTGTTCTGTCTTTAGACCTTTGAACAGTATCTTCACAAATAGCAGAACTTTTCTATTGCCACTGAAATTGGTCCAGAAATTACCTGTGTCAGCTACTGGGTTGAATGAGCCAATTTTAAAACTTGCTTTACTGAATGTGAGATCTTTAACTGGAAGGACTGCAGTCGTCAGTGACCTCATTACAGATCATTAGCTGGACATGCTTTTTTTAACTAAAACTTGGCTGGACTCAAGAGATACCTTTACACTAACTGAGGCACCCTGCCGGCTTTGCACTTTCTAAATGTGCTTAGGTCTGACAGGAGAAATGGAGGTGCAGCAGCACCCTTCTCTGACAAATATCTATGCAGGCTGCTCATTTTGGTGAGAACATTTCTTTTGAGTATCTTGCACTGACAATGGAATGCACAAATCCTGTCTTTTTAATAATAGTGTAACAGATGCCAAAATCAACCATCACTTTTATTGATGAATTCAATTTTTCTTTAGATTTTGTTTTTATATTGATTTCTGGTGACTTGAAAATCAATATCTCTCAGCATGTTACTGGATCATAACCTGGGCCATACCTTAGACTTAATTATGTCCAAAGGAGTTGATGTATTTATCATATCAGTACTTGACATTGCTTTATCAGACCATTACTGCATCTTTGTTTTTTTAAATCAATCTTGATCATAACTGCTGAAAGACAGTAGCTGCCTGCTGATTTCTTTGCTACCAAATTCTGTAATGTTGCTACTTCTAATATGTCGCCCCGGTATGACATGGTAATTGCCTTCGATCAAGGCACTAAACCAGTTTTAGATGATATTGCTCCTGTTAAATCACAATACACATAATTCAAGGAATCTCTTTTCTACTGTACATAAGCTTTGAAACAACTCCAGAACTTCGATTCCAGGTTATTTTATGTCCATCAATTGAATATTTTTCAGTCTTCTTTCCAACAAAATAATGACTTTTATGGCAAATATTCCCATACTCACTCATGGTCCTCCTACCTTGCCTCATTTTCAATTCACTGAAATTCTAACAAATGTTGCACCAGTCAGTGCTGATGATCTTGGAATGGTGTTTCAGAGCTTCAAATGTTCCACTTCTTCCTTTGATCCCATCACTTCCTCCTTTATAAGGGTTTTTAACTGTTTATCAAAGATAATTTAAACATTTTAAACACCTCTTTATAACCTGTATTTTTCTTAGCTCACTCAAATCTTCAATTGTTAAACCCCTTGTAAAGAAGCCTACTCTAGACCCATCTATTATTTGTAACTAAAGACCAATTTCCAACCCACAATTCCGAAGCAAAGTTATTGAAAAAGTCATCCACAAGCAGGTAATCGACCACCTGACAGCGAACGAAGTACAGGATTTCTACCAATTCGTCTTTCGCCCCAACCACAGTAGCCTCTTTCGCCCCAACCACAGTAGCCTTGTACAATGTTATTAATGACTTAAGAACAAATAGGGACAATGGAGAGTCTCCATTTTAGTACAATTGGATTTAAGTGCGGCATTTGACAATCAATCATGATATTTTAATCGGAAGGCTTGAGAGGTGGCTTGGCCCATCTGAGTCAGCACTGGACTGGTGCTTCAATACCTCAAAGGATAGGATTTTAGTGTTTGTCTTGAGAATTTAAGCTCCAGAACAAATCTGATTGATCTCAGAGAGGACCACTTTAGACCACTGTTACATCACAATCAGCGGGGCCTATGACGCCGTCCCTCGTGCTGCACTGGGACTCTCGGACTGGGTCACTCTGACCACGTCATGGTCCATCTGATTCCTGCATACAGGCAGAAACTAAAGCTCTGTAAACCTGTGGTGAGGAAATTCAAGCAGTGGACCAGTGAAGCTCTGGAGGATCTTCGGGCGTGTTTAGACTGTACAGACTGGGATGTTTTCAGGACTGCTACCAACAGTCTGGATGAGTACACAGAGGCTATGATGTCAAACACCAGCTTCTGTGAGGACCCCCCACCCACACACACTGACGACTCTCTCTATTCTGGAGAGAGACGTCAACAGCCTTTTTAAAAAACAGAACCCCCGCGAAGCAGCCGGCCCGGACTCTGTCTCCCCCTCCACCCTGAAGCATTGTGCTGATCAGCTGTCTCCGGTGTTTACAGACATCTTCAACACCTCCCTGGAGACATGCCACGTACCAGCCTGCTTCAAGGCCTCCACCATTATCCCTGTCCCCAAAAAAACTAGGATCACGGGACTTAATGACTACAGGCCCGTCGCCCTGACTTCTGTGGTCATGAAGTCCTTTGAGCGCCTTGTCCTGTCCCACCTCAAAACCCTCACTGACCCACTCCTGGACCCCCTGCAGTTCACCTACAGAGCCAACAGGTATGTAGACGACGCAGTCAACATGGCCCTTCACTTCATCCTCCAGCATCTGGACTCCTCAGGAAGCTACGCCAGGATCCTGTTTATGGACTTCATCTCTGCTTTCAACACCATCATCCCGTCTCTGCTGCATGACAAGCTCTCTCAGCTGCACGTGCCCGACTCCACCTGCAAGTGGATCACAGACTTCCTGTCTGACAGGAAGCAGGCCTGAGACCTCACGCCAGTTTTATCTCGTCTTCAGTTGGACACATTAACAAAGCCCGGGACCCCGACAAACTCTGTCATCCCCAGGACAATTTCCTACCGGTCACTCCCCTGCACATCCCGTCATATTTAAATACACTTGTCACTTTTACATTACAGTTACATCACACTTGTTTAAAGTACTGTTATCTGTTTGTCTGTGAAATTTATTTTATATTTTACTGTCAAATTTAATATTTTCTATTTTTTGCACTGTGTTGATTGATGCACCATCCATCATGTAAAATTCCTTGTATGTGCAACATACTCTGGTGAAATAAACGATTCCGATTCATTAATTTGCTTGCCTCAAACGACAACAACAGACATACTATCCCCTTGCAGGTTTTGGTAAGTTGGCAGTTTTGCTCTGATTGATGGGTTGATAGAAGTCTCTGCAGTATGTCTAAGCCAGTGGTTCTCAAACTGTGGGGCACGCCCCTCTAGTGGGGTGTGGCGGTATTGCAGGTGGGGCGCAGGGGGAAATGCCGAATTTTTTTATTTCAAGAACTGTATTCATATCTGCAAACTTGTTGCTTTTTGGCGAAATTTGCCGTTTTGAATCAAAATATATCATCGTGTACATCCGTAGAGCTTTTTTTTTGGGGGGGGGGGGGGGGTCAACTGGCCGGCCAGCGTTTCTCAGATTGGAGTGAGACGAGGAGAAAGGGTGATGTCCTGATCTTCGCAATAGAACATCTTTGACGTGTCGAGTCTTGGCCAATCAGCGTCCCTCCGTTAAAGTTTAAGTTACATTATGTTCCGTTACCGTTCAGACTTGCTGGGTTAAGTTAACGTCCACTGCATGTGGAACTTTGTCGACTGTTGACGTTCATCATTATCACGATTTAGGAGGAAAAAACGTAACGTGATGAAACATGCAGCCCCCCCGTGTTCCGGTTCAGTTCACGCGGTCCCTCGTTAACGTTAAACCCGAACACCGGCACATGTGGTTGCAGGTTGTTTGTTTTAACTCAAAGTAGAATGAGGATGAGATGATGAGGTCAAAGAGCTTCAGGGGGAGGAGGCTGGTTGTGTAGCGCAGCTTGACGCAGGGCTGAGCTGTGAGTGGAGCTGGGCCTGGATAAAGGTGGAGCTGGGCCTGGATAAAGGTGGAGGTCTAAACAGACGTGAGTACAGCTTCCCGCTGTCACAGTATTTTAAATACATTTATCAGGCAGGGTATGCTAAATGTAGCCTCTGCTCCAAGGAGATAAAGTACAGCAACAAGGGCTCACATGTCCTCTCATCACACTGTACACACTGTTCACTGTAATGACCACAGCCAGTGGACTAACAGTCCCAACAGTCCCACGTGCAGCTATTATTATTATCACAGTTATTATCACAGCTATTATTTTACTTTTAGAATGCTACATTTTAAAGCTCATATTTAAAATAAAATGCTCCTGATATGTGTGACACATATCTGCACTAATTTTGTTTTGTTCTTCACAGGTTGCAGTTTATTGTGAATATCTTAGAAAGATATTCACAATAAGCTATTTTTTGCCAAATATTAGTTATTTTTTGCACAGATAGAACTTTATTTGAATTGTTCTAACAAAGTGATTGAACATTGTATTTGTTTTTGTCTGATGGAGCAATCTGGTTTACTCGAAAGTAATTACAATTTTCTTTATTCTATTTGAAAAAGCAGACGGAGGAGTCACAAAATGTTATTTCAATAAAAGTTCAACATGGACCATTTTGTTACAATTTTGTTGGGGCGGTGGGGCATGAACATTTTTCTTCCTCCAAAGTGGGGCGCGACAGAAAAAGTTTGAGAACCACTGGTCTAAGCAATCATTTTCTGTCATATTCGCAGTTTTCATGGCCAATGGCATCGAAGAACTATATCATTATATCCATTTCACTGCATGAACAATGATTGCACACACTGTAGGTCTCATCAAATGTCCTGCTTTTTGAAACTATACAACTGCCCACTGCTACTGATAAGAGTTTTTATGCTACACTCAATGTGCTTTGTGGTTGTGCTGCATCCCCCGGGTTTTATATGGTTTTGAATATTGACACTACACGTACCTGGATTTACATATATAATCATTCACAGGGATTAGTGTTTCAGAAATCACAATGCAAAAATAATGAGCGTAGTAAGTGATCGTATCAGACCTTCAATATGCATAAAGTCAACTATTAATAATTCATTCTGCAGTGGCAGATTCTTTTGCTGGTGTCTCACTTATTTCACAATATAAATACATTTTATTCAATGAAACACAACTGTCTTAAAATTTCATTTTTTATCGTTTTAATGATTTTTAAAATAACTTCTTGTCGAGCTTTAAAACAAAGGTAATGCTGTTGTAACCCTAGTTCTATAATCACATGCAGAACTCCTGCTCGAATCACACCGCTGTCTGCCATCATACAATAACCCCAATGAACCATGTTGCGTGTAGAGTTTGCATGAACTACAGAGGGATGGTCTCTTCCCGCCTGGAGTCACAAAGCCATCTCACCAGGCTTGGATAGGGCTTTACCAGTCACACCATCCCTGAAGCACACTATCAGGACCGTGTGTTTAACATGATATGCCAATGCACAAACTGGGCAAAGCAGAAGTCATTTTTCCTCCCTGTCCCCTGCATGGGTCGGAAGACAAAAAGCATCTAGCTCTATAACCCTTGACCTGAAAGAACTCCTCAAGTTCATTGAAACAAATTGGTTGGGTCGCAGGGTAGTCCCGCTACGGTCAGTGCAAGCAGCAAATCTAGAATGACAATGCCTCTACTTGCCTGGTAAGGGGTTGCCTCTCGACATGACAGGTGCTCTGAACCCCACATCCACAGGCTCCCTGCTGTCCCCAACAGGGCAGCGTTGCAAACTTTGTCTTGTCTGTTGATATAGGCCACCGTCGCATACTTTTTGGTCCTCACCATCATATGCTTCCCCCGTATCAGGGGTGCAAGGTGCCGGAGGACCAAGAACACTGCCTGTAGTTTGAGGAGGTTGATGTGTCTGTCCTTCGCCAGAACCTACACACAACCAACTGCTCTCCCCAGGCATGTTCCCCCCAACTCCATCAGGGAAGTATCTGTGATCCCTGCAAAAGGTGTTGTGGGGATCCCCAGTAGAGTGGATCATTATTTACCAAGGGGGGAATGGTAACCGCGCACCGGTTGTGCTTCTTTGCATCCAAACAGGCTTGAAAACTAATTTTACAGGTACCGTATGTGCGGCACCCCCCGATTGGCAACCGCCATGAAGCCCAGTGCTTGCAGGATGGTAAACGCTGTCACTGTCACACCCTGCTGCAGATTGCCAACTGCCTGCTGCAGGAAAGTCCATCGGTGTTCCAACAAAGTGGCTTGCAGCCTGAATGCATCAAGCACGACCCCCAAATACTACACCTGTTGGAGTGGCAGGGGGCTGTTCTTGACCGTAATAGTTATAGGCTGGAGGGCGACATGCAGGAATATTCTGTATTTTGGAGAAACCTCGACATGAAAGGATGCTTCCTTTGTGCCAATGGTGGTGAATATATCACTTTGCTGAACCAGTTCCAGCAACTGCTTGATGGTTAGCATACAGAACGCCTTGCAGGCAATGCATCAGTTTAGGACACAGAGATTCAAAATGGGTCTAAACTCTACTGTCTTCATGGGGACCAGGAAGTACGCAGAGTCAAATCCTTTCTGTCTGATAGTTTTAGCTGACAGATACAGCCTGTTTCTGCAACATGGCCTGCATATCTACTATCTCCTCCTGGGAAGATATATGCACCTCATCGAACCCCGATGAACAGCCAAGGGACAGTGTAGATTGCAGAGAATAACCAAGTCTTGATGTCCTGTCCATCCATTCTGTTAACGTGCAGTTGTGTCACCACTCACCATAAAACTGTGTTAGAGGATGAGCGACAAACTGTGGATCTAAAAAGTTGTGACATCCTTTCTCAGCCCTCCATGACCCCCCATTAACAAAGGCCAGCCCAATGAAGAAGGCTGACATGGAAAGATTCGAACCGGTGATGGGGTCTGTGAAATCATCACTGCTTGCCTGTAAATGCATCACTCTGGTCTCCTATGTAGAGATACAGGATAAGGGAGAAACAGACACTATCCCACCGACGTGCCCTCCTCCTTACCGTGACGAGCAGCAGGTGGCAGCTGAACTTTAAGTTATTTTGATAATTCAAATCAATCTGAAGAGCCCTTTCATGGCTATGGGGGCTCCCAGGGGGTCATTTGGGTCCTTCCTCAGAAGCGCGGTGAGTTCCAGCCTCACATAGCAAAAACCCACAGTGGCTAGAGACATCAAAAGGCCTGTAGCCGTTTAAACTCCCTGAATCAGATTATTCATTTTGCTGCTGCAACGGTCCAAATAGTCAGTCTGAGACGGTGGGGCAGGGGTGTTAGGCTAGGACGATGCCAGCGAAACGCTAAACACATCCAAATAGTTAGTAGCAGCAGCCAGACAAAGCTACAGCGCTCACAGTTTAAACCTTTTGTCAAAATATTCTCTGTGTCAGTAGAACCGGTAGAAGTTACGCCGTTCGCTGAAAACAAAAAGCATGGCAGACAGCGATGTGTGCTGCCTTATTTACTGTGCGGTCACGTATGGGGTAGGAACGTTCATTTTGGCCAACTTTGCTAATGCAAATTTACAATGCAGGCTTGTGATTGGAGGAGACTATTATCTATAGAGTCCGTTAAAGGGCGCAGCCTGTGTGAGTCAGAACAAAGTATTTCAGATGTTCCTGTATTTACCTGATAGGGGCCGTGTGGTTGTGTTGTGTCCACCACGACTTTGGTGGGTTGAGGTATCGACACCACAGCTCCCAGTCAAAGCCCTGAGCAGATAGCGGATACTCCTCGATCTCGAAGGTGTCATACTTGATGTTGTCAAAAGATGGAGACACCACCCGGGTCCGGTTCTCCTTTATTCGCTGCAGAATAGGTTCTGCCCTGTGGGATGACAGAGCACGGACAGAATGTTGTAGAACACACTATGATAAGTCACCATCATAACATTCAACAAAAGAAAAGAAAATGTGAAAATAAAAACTGAGATAACAGAAATGAAAGTCAAACAATTTGCACATCTGAAGGAAAGTCTAGAAGTTTGACACAAAACATGATCAAATATATACAGTATATATATAATATACATTTTGTGCTTCAAAAACCTATTTCCAAAAATAAGCCTGACTACATTAGCTAAAACAAGACCTGGCCCTCCACTCTCAGACTTCTTCCTTTTGTTAAAGCCCCTGAAAACCTGACTTCAAATGCTCTATAACCTTAATATTCATGGCAAAAGTCCAAGTAAAAAACTTTACTTAACCGGTTCCCCAGTCAAAAACTGAACAGACCTCCTAGTTTGTCCCGGATTGTCCCGCTTTCAAGCTGGGTGTCCCGAATCTTGACAAGTAAGGCCCTCAAATGTCACGATTTTTAACAGTCACTACCAAATTGTCCCCATTTTTAATAAATTAATAATAATAATAATAATAATAATATAATTGTGTTAAGAGCATACATAGACATATCATGTTCTCCCCCACTCTTTATTACCTAATCCACTATAAAAACCAATCAATGCACCACATGCCTGAATTCAAAGATGAAAGGTCTGTACGTGTGTCAAACTGTCAATCAATGTGTCATTGTCAAGGCTTTTTCCGACAGAATCTGTCAGTACGTTAACGCAGTAATTCCCAAAGACTGGGTCAGGACCCACAGGTGGTGTGTAAGTGATTGGGGTGGGGGGGGGGGCTCAAGCACTTTAACCAGATTTTGAAATCCTTTGTTTTCTACAACGGAGAATGTCCTCATGTCTGCAGCAATAAACACTCCAATAGATTTGGTAATAGCTTTAGCCCGGTCTGACAGACTGGGATGGTGGCACTTAATATGTGTGGACATGCCCGATGTATTGCCGTTGTCGTATGTCTTTCTCTTTAAACAACGGCTACATACCGTAACGTTTTTTTCCACCACCCTCATTCCGTCATTATTAGTTACAGGAAAGCCAAACTTGCAACTTAAGTGACGCCGGTGGCTTCTCAAGTTCCTCCGCTCGCCAAGACTTTCACCATCAAATGCTTTTAACCTTCTCCATTCACACACTACTGCTTTATATCTTTTCACTGCAACTCTGCATAGATATTTAGAGACGTATTACCTGAAAAAGTATGAGCGGCAGTAAAACTTTATTTCACAATATGATGATTAAACTGTAAAAAGAAAAAAAAAATGCAATTAATCCGCGGTTCATATGTGCACTGAACCGTGAGGGGTGACCCGTACGGATCATGGATCCATCCGTGATTCACCTTTTTCACCTGAGATTTGACTGATAATTTGGAATCAAAAAGTACTCTGAGATACCTGTAGTCAGGTACAACCCGTAGCCTCTCCCCAGATACAAAAACATCCGGCTCTACACTACCAGTTTGTTTTGGTAAAAAACATACATACCGTTTTGGATACGTTTAGTTGTAAACATCTAAGCATGTGTTATGACCCGGCTCTCAGGTCACAACAAATGGGCGACACACCATGATAAAGTTTTGACAAAAGATATTTTATTGAACCAAAGTAACTCAAATCAGACCAAACTAAACATTTAACTGAATGTGTACAGTGTGGAGTGTGGGAATCCGTGGTGGCGGATGTGTGGTGCATGAGTGGAAAATTTGTGTGTGCGAGTGTACGACAAAAAATAAACAACATAACAAAACCAAACGGGTGCCTACAGGATAAGCAGAGAGCTGCTAGGAGCAGTCAGGGCCCAGGTGTTCCCAGCTGGCCTTAATGATCCAACGCCAAACGATTGGCAGGGAAGGGCAGGGGTTGTCACACATGTCATCTACATATTCATTTACTGTGAATTTCATACTGCTGTTGCTGCAATGGTGTTGAGATGGTTCACCGCTAGCGGAGGCGGAAGTTGTTTCTCATCAGTTGAAAGGTCAGAACAGCGGCTATGCGACTCAAAGATCATCAGTCATGTTTCTGCAGATGAGAGAACAATCTTCCGTACTCCACCGCGACGGGGAGGATCTCATTTTGTTTTTGGAGGATTTATTTTGTTTTGTTTGCTTTCTCTCCTCTTTTACTAACACACACACACACACACACACTCACACACACACACACACACACACACACACACACACACACACACACATAGCATGAAGCTAATGTAGCTCCGGGTGAGCTAACTGCTTAGATAATGAGACCTTTATATCCGCCATTTTAGAGTCTCGCGACATCATACGTTGTCTGAGCTGTGCTCTCGCCTCTCCCCCCACACACACTACATGCATGCACACACACACACACACACACGCACACACACACACACACACACACACACACACACACACACACACACCTCCCCTCTTACCACAGTTTGCTGATTTTAGATAGCGTGCTCATGAATGTATAGTTTTGTTGTTAGTTTAGATGTTAGTTGACTAGATCATTAGTATTAGAACGTAATAAACTCTGTTATATTTTAAAGAGCAGCTGTCTGTGATTACTTTGTGCATGTGTATTGTGATAATAGCTGTATATGTGGTCTGTGCTTGAACTCAAACCTTCACTTTCCCTCTGAATGTGTAATCAATGACTATTGACATTGTGAGTGAACACTAATTATGAGACTTAGTTTATCGTTTGGTTATTGGTCCCTGTTCGCAGGGTGGTGCCCCGTTATTATTAATAATCAATAATAATCATTAGACATTAATAATTCTATTGATGTCAATAATTTAGTTTTCCATATATGCTGACAACTCAAACTCCTTTTTCGTTCCCAACATTGTACATGTAAATCAGTCTTTACTCTCATGTCTGCAGTATTGTGAGGTTATTAACTGGTTTAACTGGAACATGAGCATTTTCCCCCATACTTGCCTCCTTCCACCGGCTCTATTTCATGAAGTTCATTTTAAGACTTTATTTGTCTACAAAGCACTTCCTGAATTGATTCCCTCTTTCCTATCCAACCATTTAATCCCCTATAATCCACCTAGGCCACCCAGGTCACTGACCGGTCACTCCTGGTCGTCCCTCCTGACGAAAGCTCAGGGGCGACCGCCCCTTCTGTGTTGCAGGCCCCGGTCTGTGGAAGAAACTTCTCCACCACAGCAGAACTGTCCCCTCTACTGAGTGGTTTCAAACAAAGCTCAAGACTAACCTCTTCTCTTTGGCTTTCAATTGTATATAATGTGCCACTACTAAATGGTTGTTAATTAGTTGTGCATCATGCTACTCATTGATTTGATGTGTATATGGATGTTTTTGTTGTCTGCTCTGTGATTTAGCACTTTGGTTAGCTCATGTTGTTTCAACTGTGCTTTAGAAATACATTTGATTTGATTTAATTCCCCACTAGATAGGAGCGGGATCTATTATTGCCTGGTTAAGGTAGATACAAAACTAATCATTATAAATAAGTATGTCACAGTTGCCATTATGGCTCTTTGGAGCTGAAGGTTTGCACCTGGTTGAATAACGAATATTCAAGAAAATGGGTTACAGCTGCGTAATAGGACTCAAAAAGGGGGGGTAATTGAATGATCACTTCATGAACCAGATGAAAGAGATTGTTTTGTGCTATTCAGCCGCTGCTTTGACTGATAAACTGATTTATAGTGTGGAGCAAACCAATGCCCTCACAGTGAAACGAAGCCTCTTTTCAGATATAATCAGCAACCTTTCAAACAAAGTGGCTGCTGAATAATTCCTAACATTCAGCATCTCATTTTTTATTTTAGTTTTCGTCTCTTTTTTTGTACCCCTGCATCTTCAGCAGGCTTTATAAAGTGGTTGGTTCCAACTGTACAAGACAATGAGGTGTTCATGGAAACTATTTTTGCAGCAGTGTACAGCATACAATGCCCTCCTAATTGAGATATCACATGGTTTAATCACGTCTGGACTAATTGGAGGAGATATATTGAAACTTGAAAGACAAAATCCAAACTGTCTCTTTGGATTCCAGTTGAAACCCAGAATCACATCTTCAAGGACAAATGTCAAAAATCACTCCAGCAGCCAAATCTATTTCTCTGCTATTGAGCCATATGTTTATGTTGTTCCAAACAATTGACTCTGGTGCAATAAATTGTGAAACGCACTACTTCTGGTGGAGCTTCACAGCTGAGACGAGCCAATAACGTAACACAGGAGTGGTGTATTGCGGTATGTTTTGAATAAACTATGACAATTTGTAACAAATTACAGATCAATGTTGAACAAAGACTTATGTTACAATAATTATTTGAGAAGTTTGTATACAGGTTTTCATGGATTTGAATTCTATGTAACCTTCTGAATCCCAGTTGTTTACAGATGCTGTTCTCTGCGGAGGAACAGGTGACTGGGTTGGTACTCAGAGGATAGATGATTCTTTTAAAGGGTAGGGCTAGTATTCTACAGTCAGGGCTGCAGTGACAGGTAACAACAACCTAACATGGTCATCATGCATCTACAGCGACTGATTAAAACCGCCTAGAACATCATTGGTAACCATCTACTGATCCGTGATATTGGTGAGAAGAAGAGCCTGCCAAGAGCCCAAAGGATACTAAAAGACAAATCCCACCCAGCCACAACCTGTTCACTCTGCTGCCGTCTGGAAAGAACTAGTAGAAGTATCAGCTGGCAGACAACTAGACCACAGAACAGCTTCTTCCTTCTCCCTCAGGCTGGGATAATCCTTAATTCATCCTCCACCCTCCACATATAATATAGTTTTGCTCTTTCTTTCATTTTTTATGTAGCAAAATGGGACTACAAACTGCATTTATGTGCAAAACCCTGTTGCACAATGATAATAAATGAACCTTGTAACTACATTTACATTGATACTGGCTGAATATAAATTTGCCCCTTTTTCATATTGAATGCAATCTGTACAGAGAGAGAGGCAATAATCAACAGGGCCGGGGCAACAGCCAGAGGGTTTGTGGAACACGAACACAAGCTAGCTAGCTATTAGAATGCATCTTAAAAAGTCATCATCCCCAAAACTAATGATGTGCGTTTTTCACAATGAATGCTCTTTGTGTAAAGACAGAGAGACAGGCACCCTAACCCACACCCGTACAGTAAACAACAAAAACAACAACAACAACAGTAGTAATAATAATGTTTGATTTATGATCTGGTTCTCCTGTAAAAACTTTGTAGAGATTGTAATTGACCATCTTCTGGTTAAACATGCATGTAATTAAGTATTGAACAGAGAAGAGTAAAAGGAAATACCTAATGTTGGTAATACAATGCATTGCAGAGCCTATTAATTAAACTCATAAAAATGATAGTATATTAGCCACCTTCAATCATAAAAAGTATCAATATTGGTATCCATATCTCTTTGAAGTTATGTTTAATTAATTGTTTTTTCAAAATTATTATGGTAAACTAAAAAAATTTAGACGGTAAACATGATCACTGCCTCGACTATGTTCAGAGGCCCCGTTTATTTGAGTGAATAAAGCATTTATGTGCAACGCTTGACTCGCAGGGAGGAGTTTGAACTGGGTGGCGGGCGGATAAGATGCAGTTATATTTTGGCAAGTAAAGCACTTTGGTTTAGGTTGGTTTAGGTTTCTGTTACATGTTAATTTATAGGTCATGTGACGAACATTTTATGTTCATATTAATGTATAAAAAGTGTAATCTGGGTCACATTACATTTTCTTCAAAAGGTATCTTTTGCTCGTTAGTTTTATATTAGCACAATTTGTAGGAGACAAATGTCATAGTATTGTGTAACCCTATACTCTGTCAGTGACACTCAGCCACAAGCCTCTTCATTCACAGAATACATACAGTACATCTTTGAAATGGGTTAGAAATATTTCTTTCATTTTTTAATAGGGTCAGTAATTTCCTAAAACAGCTGACCACTGTAGTTTTTATCAAATATTACTCAAACAATATTACTCAAAACTCAAATTACTCTCTCAGGTGTCCTCCCACAAGCCCCAAAAACTGCAGTTATTAAACCTTCTAAAGAAGGCTCATTTAGACTCCGCAACAATGACAAAGTACTATATGCCAATATCAAACCTCCCATTGTTAAGTAAAATAATTGAAAAAGCATTTTCACACAGATACACAGACAATACTTGTTAGTGGGATCCATTCACTACTGTTTATGGTCTTTTCATGAGATTTGTTGACAATAAGGAAAATATAGAAAATAACCAGACTTATCCATTAACACCAGGGAGCACACACGCTAGACTCTTCAGCTGTCACCAGTCAAACAAGGGCCTGGTATGAGGTGACCTTTCAAGATCTGTGGTTATCGACATTTTTCAGTCACAACTTGCTGCAATCTGGGATCAGGAAGTGTGTAACTGCTTAATGTAGTGTTAACTAGTTTCATTGCAGACACTGCTGTAGTTAAAATATATCGTATAAACCACAGCCAGCTGCTCACCAACCAGTGTTGAACTCCACATGTGCATCGAACAGAGCAACGACGGGAGCGGAGGCTGCCCTCCATCCGCTGACTCTGGATCTGATCAGTCCTTCCTGCTTGTCATGGCGGACCAGCTTGATGAATCCCGGGCCGTACTGAATGTTGGTCTCCTCTACAAATCTCTGCAGGTGCTCTTTCAGCTCCACTAGAGAGAGAGTGACACACACAAATACACTTGGATGTTAAAGAAAACTCACCGACGCCTTTTTGCAGCATTGATCTTATCGACTAAACTCCACAGAAACTCCCTCAGCTCCACAGGACCAAGGAAAAGCAATCTGAGTTCTTCCTGTTCTGATGTGAGGGTCCTGGGACAGAGGATGTCATATGTGTACAGATTGTAAAGCCCTCTGAGGCACATTTGTGATTTATGATTTTGGGCTGTACAAAATAGATTGAATTGAATTGAGTGTGTGTGTGTGTGTGTGTGTGTGTGTGTGTGTGTGTGTGTTTGCAACAAATGCTTGTGTGTTGTGTGTGTTAACAATTTAGCCAAATTTCTATCAAAAACATGCAGGATGTTCAAAGTCAATAATTTTGAAGGATAATTCAGTTTTTACAACAAGTTTACAACTTGTGTTTTGCCATCCCGCCTACTGGCTGATAACACTTTACTAAGACATTTCATTTTGGTGTTGACGCTCAAGGTATTAGCCGTATGTTGCAACAATAACACACGTACACATTTCATGAACTTGGAAGAGCAGAGGATACACAACAAATTTTGACTCACAAGTTAATGAATTACCAAAGTCACCAACAACTGTTGATATCTTTAAGTCTGGACCAAAGACATGGAACAACCAACTTACTGATTGAACAAAAGACAAAGACTGGGAATGCTCAATCTGTAGAAAGATTATAAAGAGTTAAACACTGATTCATTGTGTTGCTGTGGAAGCAGTTAATGTGAGAGATCTATAGATTTCATATTCTGTCAGATAATCAACCCACAGAAGTGGGTCGCTACATATACATGCTTATATTGAGTTTTAGCATGGTGGGTCTTTCCGTGTGTTGCTTCTGTCTCTCACCATGAGTGAGTTTCATAATGCCTTGCACACATTAGGGTAGACACACACTCACACACAGAGACACAGACACACACTCACAGACTAACCACAGGGGAACAGTGAACATCTTCATGTCCTTCTTGTGATTCCTCTCTGTTGTAATCCTGCTGCTGTCTTCCCTTCTCTATTCATTGTTACTATACTTTTCCTTTAATGAGCCACAGTTTGCCACTGACCTGGAGTTGGGAGTATTTGAAGAGCACCTTATTTTGTTACATGTACATGTGAGAATACTTCCAAACATTTACAAAAACAAAGTCATTAAATCAAGCGCTCCTCCGGTTACCCAATTCATCTTCAAAAGTCTGGTCAACACTGTAAAATATGTTTTCACTCAAACATAGCTAACTGTCAGACAAAATGAGACCTTCTTTGACTTCCATCCCTTAATAAAACACCACCATATGACAACTACTGGCCTCTGTCTGAGCAAGGAGGATGGTTAGAAGATCAAAAGTGGGAAATAGATTAATGCCTTCTCACTATCTTAAGAAATCTAATTGTATTTGAATACCAGAGTACAACCTCATTTTTCTTCAATTGTGATGGTTATAATGACAAAGAGCAATGAACCTACCTCAGTCCAACCCATCATGTTATTGTCTCGTCTGGGAGGAGAATACGATGCAACATACTATGACTTGTAGTGTGCACAGTTCACTTTATATAGTTCTGGGAAACCCCTCAGTTTACCCCTACATAGACATAACTGAATATATAATCTGCTTTATACAATCTTGTCCTTTAGCATGAGCATATTTAGGTAATATTTCGGTAAAACAAACAAGATATACATACATCACATATACCAAGAGTGCCTCTTTGTCAGTCGTGTGTGGCTCATTACTGCCACTGGGGGGCCGTCCCTCCTGCAATTCCAACTGTGGAATATATATTTCAGGTGTTGGCTTGTTTGCTAACCCAACATGAAATAGTGCTGTAACTAATAGTTTTTAAATGACTTATATGTTTATTGGTTGATTTGTCGGAAAAAGAATAATGTTAGTAAAAGTGAAAAATTCTCATTAAATTTTCCCTGAATCTAAAGTGACATTTGTCTGACCAGTCCAAAACGAAGGCTACAGTATTACAACTCTAGTTCTATTAGCACAGGCTGATCCTTGTAACTGACCCTCTAGGTCTAGGTGGAGGGTTCGGCCTGTGCCTGTGCTTATACAACTAGTGTTACAATATAGTAAGCTTCATTCTTACTCACACAGGCCCCATGCTGTGCTGGACTCTATCAGCCTCTATACACGCACAAGGCACCCCGAGGACCCACAAGTCCTACACCCTGTACAGCAAATAAAATGAATCTATTATCAAAATGATTGTTGATTAATTAATCAAATACTAATCAACTGAACTATATTAAATTACACTAAGCCACACTAGCTGCCCTGTGAGGCTATAATGGCCATTATTAAAACAACTACATTGTTGAATGAAAAAAAAATGTTCACACAGGAAGTGAAGCACATTTTTGCCTTTTGTTATGCTTGTGTGTGTGTTTGTGTTCAGCTCAGACTCGGATTGAATTCAGAACTCACCAGAATCTCTGCTTCTTTTGAAGACTTCCAGCCTTGTCTCTGTAACTTTAGGAGGCAGCATGTTTTCTCAAGTTGAAATATTTTGAACTCAGATAACTCTCCACGTCATTTTGCAAAATCCCAGGCAAGATCATGTTTAGTCTGGTCTTTCCCCTGACATTGTATGCAAACATTAAGCCTTTTTTAAATTCATTGTAATTCTGCCTTAATGTCTATTGTACCCTTTGAGGCTGTACTTAAACACTGCTGTGCTTTGTTGTAAAGTAGAATGGGAGCCAGAGCCTTCAGTTACGAAGCTCGTCTCCAGTGGAAGCAGCTCTTAGTTTCAGTCTGGAAGTCGGACACCACATTTAAGAGTTGGCTCTTAAAGCGCTATCGAAGACTTTCCTCTTCAGTAACGCTGAGGGCTGGCTCAGGCTTGCCTTGGACCAGCTCTAGATATTCTGATATAGACCCAGACTACCGGGGGACTTCCTACGATACACTAATCCATGTGCCATTAATGCACGTTACCAACTTCCCCAAAGTCTTTTTGCCTTCTCGTCTCCTTCTTATCAGCATTCTATTATATCCACTGCTGCTATTCTTATTAGTAGGAGTCATATTTCTATTTTTGCTTATTATTCTTGTTCATCATCATCATTCTATTATATCTATCACAATACAATTAATTATATAGCTACTGTGTTAATATTGATGCATCTCTCTCTCTCTCTCTCTCTGAGTGGAAGGAGTGCAGAGTTGACGGAGCGTGTTTGAGAGCGATTAACAGATTTTTTCGTCACTAGTTAACATTGGATGTGATGGTGTATCTCACGGTGTTTGTGTGAACATTTAGCTGGTTTTAGGGTCTTTGTGAGTGGTTGCAGTCGATCAGCGCGAGCTGGTCGGCGTGCTAAACGCCACCATGGACATGACCGACCTCACGAGGAAACACGGCATAAAGATCCAGCCGACTTTCCCGGTTTCAGTGGAGGAATGCAGCCTGGCTGTGGGTGAACTTGTCGGACATAGCAGCGTTAGTCCGCTGCGCGAATGAACAATGCCGTGGTCATCTTTTTAGATACCATCGGAAATGCAGAAGTGGTGATTGACAACGGGATCGAGGTGGGCGATAACTTCTTCCCCGTTTATCCTCTCAGCCCACGGCAGTGAAGGTAACAGTGTCCAACGTCCCACCGTTCATCAGAGATGAAGACATAACCAGAGAACTATCAAGACACGGGAGGATAGTGTCTAAGGTGAAGAAGGTGTCCTCTGGGTGCAAGTCTCCTCTCCTGAAGCACGTGGTGTCTCACAGGAGACAGCTGCTCATGATCCCAAACAACAGGAGCAAGGGGCTCAACCTAGTGTTCAAGATCAGGGTCGAGGACTTCGACTACCTCATTTATGCAACAACTGATGACTCAGTTGTGGAAAAGTGGATCATCAGAGTAGAACGTGTCCTGAGAAAAACAGCTCTCATAAGGACCAGAACCAGAACCAGAATCAGACAGGTACTGAAGAGGACAGAGGGGACAAGCAAGATGGACAGGACGGGCCAGATGGGGTCCAAAAGAGGAGGGAGGAGGGGACGAGCGGGTTACAGGAAGAGGGGACAAGTGAGACCCAGGAGGTGAGGGTGGAGGAAACAAGTGAGACCCAGGAGGTGAGGGAGGAGGGGACAAGTGGGGTACAGGAGGTGAGAAAAGAGAGGGAAAGTGGGGGACAAGAGGTGATGAAGGACAGGGCAAGTGAGGTCCAGAAGGTGAGGGAGAGTACTGGAGGACAGGTGGAGACAGGTAGGGAGGTGGACATGGAAGCAGACGAGGAGCAGCTCAAAGCCCCTCAGCTGAAGAGGAAACAGAGAGGAGACAGGGGAAGCTCACAGGCAAAGAAAGCAGCAACGAAAGGAAGTGGAGGAGCGGCAGAGTGTGAGTCCAGTATGGAAGAGGACTCTGAGTCAAGTCGGGAGGAGGACTCTGAGTCCAGTCAGGAGGAGGGCGCTGCTGCTGACAGTGAGCCCTCTAAACACAAGGATGGCAGCTGTAGGAGCTCTGGAGGCTACAGCGTGGAGGAGATAAAGGAGTTTCTGAAGAGGAGTAAGAATGTGAGAGGAGCCAAAGTGGAGGACTACCTCTCTGATAAAGAGAAGCTCTCCAGCTCTGCCAGAGCTCACATGAGAAGCAAGGACAGAGGAGGTCTCACTATGCAGGAAGGCTTCAGACTGAAGAAGATAGTTCACAAAGTGAACAAAGAACTGAACAAAGATGGTGCTAAGTGAGAGTCAGATCTCACAGTCTAAAGACAATCAAAGACACGTGTCTGTTTGTTGGACTTTATTTGTTTAACCGTTTTAAATGATAAAGAAACATGTTCAAAGAAAATAAAGGTTTTCTAAAAATCAATCAATCAATCAATCTCCCTCTCTCTCTCTCTCTCTCTCTCTCTCTCTCTCTCTCTCTCGCCAGACCCAGCTGAAATTGACCTGACTTTGAGCTATATGCTACTGTCAGCAACATGCTCAACAATGACAAAGTTAA